ATCCACTCACCTCGGCCTCCCAAAGCGTGGGATTACAGGCTGAGCCACCGAGCCCGGCCTGGTTTTGTTTCTTAACACCTTTTATCAACACCGATGTCCCGCACGCACGTTGCTTTTTCTGTCATCTGCCTCTGCTGCTGACCTCACCAAGGCAGGCTCTGTCTTGTGCATGATGGTGTCTGCAGAAGCTCAGAGCCTGGTGCATGGGAAATACTTGTGGAATGAATGACAGGAATGCTGGGTGTGGGCCTGGCCCGGGGTGTGGGGTCACACCCACGGGAGTCTCTGGGATGCCCCTGGCGACCTCCCCCCTCAGTCTCCGGCAGGGCCCGCACCCCTGGGGATCCAAGGGAGGCCTCGGTGGGCTACCGCGGTTGGATTCCAAGGGGTTCTGCGGAACATGCACATCCCCTGGGGGCCCGTCAGCACCACAGGGACGGGACAGACACCCCAGGCACCTCCTCGGTCCCCTGGCCCGGCCCCTCCCACCTCTCCACCTCCCGCATCCCATAACACCACAAGCGGGAGCTATGACCCTGTGTCCTGGCACACGTGTGACCCTGCTTGCTCTCCAGGGCAGCCCAAGAGGATGGGTGACTCACCCCTTTCGCCGTTGAGGAAACAGGCCCACAGAGCTGAAGCACCCCGGTCAGGATACAGCTGCCCCTGTCCTGCCCACCGTGGTGCCTCAGTTTCCCTGTCTGTCCAGTGGGCTTCTCCGGTTGAAAGTCCTTGGGAAAGTTGGGGCACTGAGTAGATGTTCAAGCACTCTGCAAATGCTAAGGCTTGTAGACCCGAACAGCCTTTAGAAGATAAATCGAAGCTGGGCTCGGTGGCTCAGCCTGTAATCCTGCACTTTGGGAGGCTGAGGTGAGTGGATTGCCTGAGCCCGCAGGTTCGAGACCCACCTGGGCAGCGAGACTTCATCTCTATAATAAATCAAAAAAATCAGCCGGGCGTGGGAGCGCACACCTGTAATTCCGGCTACTCGGAAGGCTGAGGCAGAAGGATCGCCAGAGGCCAGCAGGTCGAGGCTGCGGTGGCTGGGAGCCGCCACTGCACTCCAGTCTGGGTGACAGTGAGACTCCAACTCAAAAAAAAAAAAACAGATAAATTGAAATGTGATTCTCCAGGGTGGCCCAGGGGCTCGGAGAGGTTCCGGTCCAACTCTGTGGTCCAGATGGGGAGACTGAGGCAGGAGAGACAGGCCTGGGGCAGCCGGAAGGAAAAATGACCACTCTGTTTCCAGTTCTGCACAGCCCAACCTCCCTGGAGCCCCTGGAGACGGCCTCCCCGGACTGGACCTCCCAAGAGCCCCCCAAAACAGCCTCCCCGGAGCCCCCCACCACGGCCTCCCAGGCACCTCCGGACACAACCTCCCCGCAGACCAGCCCATACCAGGGCCCCACCTGGACTCCCTGTCCTGAGATCCCCCAGGCTAGGCCTACAGGGGGAGGAGTGATCCTTGAAAGCTGTGAGTTCTGGGGCCTGGAGGGGTGGCGGGTGAGGGAGGACTAGGGAGGGAGGGACCCCTTGGATCAAAACTTTAGGCAAGAAATGGCCCAGCCCGGCCTGTTTCCCTGTCGGTCCAGTGGGCTTCTCTCACTGGCGGGCCTTTGTGAATTTGAGGGACTGCAGATTGCAAAGCACTTTGTAAGTTCTGAGCTTTATGGACAAGAACAGCCTTCAGAATAGAGCCAGAAACCAAAAGAGAGTACAGCCTCAGAGGTGATTTCCAACTTAAAAGGGAAAACAGGTGCGATGATGCATCTGGCCCAACCCAATACACACGAGCACTCATGTTTCCATGTGTCATCAGCATAAAAACTACGGCGCTGTTTTACATTCTTTTTTTGTTTTCCAAAATAAGTCCCCCAAATGCAGTGGCTGCGCGCCGACAATGCTTTCCATTGACACCAGCCGCGTTTCTAGCACAGGTGGCGGGGTGGTCACCCCACCCCCCCCGGCCCCCACCCCC